TCTCTACTAAAAATACAAAAATTAGCTTGGGTGTGGTGGCCGCAGGCCTGTAATCCCAGCTACCTTTGGGCAGGCTGAGGCAGCAGAATCACTTGAACCCAGGAGGTGGAGGGCCTGCAGGTGCAGCGAGGACTGTGAGCCCACTTGCACTCTCCAGCCTGGGGCTGACAGGAGGAAGACTCAGTTCTCAAAAAAAAAGAAAAAAACGAAAATTTATTTGGGGTGTGGGTGTGTTGGGTACATGCCTGTAGTTCCAGACTCCTTGGGGGGGAGGATTACTGTTGAGCCCAGGAGGTTGGGCTGGCCAGTGGAGACCGCAGATCGTGGCACTGCACTCCAGCTAGGGCACACAGAGGGAAACTCTGTCATAAAAATCATAAAGTAAACCAAAAATATTACAGAAGGCTGACTGAGAATAAGAGAAATCTTAATCTGGGCAAAAAGAAGGCACCGAGCTGAACCATTAATAAGAGCCTTGCTAGACGAGAAAAGACGGAGGGAAGAAAAGACTCCGAAAAAGAGCAGCAAAAAGAAAATTTAGATCATAAGTATAGAGTACACCATGGAGAAATACGGCCTACGAAAGAGAATGCACATCCTAACCAACAACTGAGAGTTCCACAGCACTCCTGTGGCCAGGGACTGCCTCTGACACAATATACCCATCAGATGTTAACTCATTGAACCCTCACAACGACTAGGAGGGAGGTACTATTATTGTCTCCACTTTACAAATAGAAAACTAAAGCTCAAAGACATTAAATAATCTGTCAGGAATCACGTATAGTTAATATTCAGGTAGTGACCCCCTTAGCACTAGGGAAATACAGGTAAGAGCTGGGGGAGAAGCCTGACAAGAAGGATGAATATAAAACGGGGATGAGGCCGGGCGCGGTGGCTCACGCCTGTAATCCCAGGACTTTGGGAGGCCAAGGCGGGCGGATCACCTGAGGTCAGGAGTTCGGGATCAGCCTGGCCAACATGGTGAAACCCCATCTCTACTAACAAGAGTGAAACTCCGTCTCAAAAAAAAAAAAAAGAAAGAAAGAAAAAAGAAAAAAACGGGGATAAGAACAAAAGAAAGCCACTCACAATGGAAGAAAAGTAGATTAAGTAGCTTTCTGGCTCAAGAATGAACATCTCCTCTAGGTCTTCTAGGAGGAACAGTCCTCACATCCCTCTCCCCTTATACCAGGATCATGATCTGCATGGATGTGAGAAAAAATAGCCTCTAGCCATCAGGCTCCTATTAGCAGAATCCAGTTTGACAGTGTCTTATTACGTGTGCCAGACTCTGGTGTAAGGTGCTTTAAATATTCTTCCTCACTTCTTCCTCATGACAGCTTTGTGCGATAGGTACTATTTTACAGATGAGGAAAAATGAACCACAGAAAGGTTAAGAAATTTTCCCAAGATCACGCTGGTAGCAAATGGTAGAAATGGGATTCACACACCCAGTCTAGCACCCACGCCACCCGCCACCGCAACTGCTGCCTCTCAGAAATCTCAGTCAAGCATTCAGACTTAAAGGAGAACTTCCTAACTATAGCACAGT